TTGCTAACAATCTTAACAATATTTCTTTTAAATCTATTGAGTAATAAAACCCGGAATAATGTTTAAAAAAAACTTTTAATTCAAAATTTCTCACTTAATTCATAGCAGAATCGGAAGCAATGACTATAAATAACGAAACGATTGCCAATGATTTACAGCAAATCGATTTATACGAGAGAGACATTTGCGAGAATATAACACACGTGGACTGTATTGAGCTGCAGAAGGTGTACACTGAATACCAGTCGGCTCTGGAAGCCGGCGATTATGTGTGCAAAACACTATTACAAGATCCAGACCATAGAGATCCAGAACTTTTGGCCATAAAGTCTATGAAATTGGAGAAATTGCGCGAAACTGAGGCCAATCTGAGGCCATTGATTGAAAAACATCCGGCACTTCGGGTCGTACTTCTGGACGACTTTCTAATTAATGTGAGACACGCCAAAGCTGTTGTCTTCAATAAAGAGATCCTCTTTCCCACCACTACTGCCAAACCTTAGCTGTGAAAAGCCGTCAATTGGTTTACGATTTGCTCATTTCAGTGTCAATAATATTAATATTTATTAATTAATTTTTTACATTTAATATAAATTTATTTTGTTATCTTTTCCTGTTTTTTTCAAGTGTTTCAATAATTTGTCAAAAATTGTAGTCAAAAAAGTCAAATAGTTATTCCTAATGATATTCAATGGGCGATAAAAATAGGTCGACATTTTCATATGGATTATTGCCGTGTCTTCACGCCTGATATACTTCACGTCTGTAATGATAGTTATTTGTCTGAATAGAGAGTAATTTGAATTCAGTCATCACTTTATTTGTCTGTAAATTTATTTTTCATTCAAAATCAATCAAATGTTACTCTCATTCAGATTGTGACCTCTTTTTGTGAATTTTATTTATTGTCAAAAATCATATTTAAATTCAATAATCATATATAAAGACATTTTGACAATGGTTTTATTATACAATTAATTTATAATTATTACATTAAATGAGAAATTATACTTAAAGAATGAATGTTAGTTAACAAAATATAATAATTACGGCAAATATAATTTAAGGCTTTATGGCCGGACTCTCAGTCCTGACGGCCGGACTCTCGGGTTTGAGACCCACATTAATGGAGACATTAATTCTGCCCAAAACAGTGTTGGCAAACGTCGACAGATTACTG